ATCACCAAAGTCTGTCTGCTTCTAAAGCCCATGTTTTTCTACCATGTCATGCTGAGTTATAGAAGAAATAATCTTTTAAAAAGTCATGATCATCTAATAAGTGTCAGAGATCTAGGCTAGTAACTGGGAAAGCAAAATCAATCCTATGGCTGGTTCTGACTGGTGCCGATTCAGGTTTCCCAAACTGGAATTCTGACCTGAGAAACCCGTAAGCTCCACAAGTGAATAAGCACACTCAACTAGCTTCTCCTCCTCGCTCCTCAGATATCCACAGGTTGCTCTCGAAGCTTTACATTGGTAGAAAATCAGATCCAGTCACCTTGAAATTGTCAACACCAAACAGCAAAAGAGCAATACATATTTTTTGTAGGAAAAAACAGAACTATTAAGATGTGTTAAACTATTTCTTCCAGAGCTAAACAACTAATTACAGGAAGGAAGCTCTCATGGTTGTCATGCTATATTTTCTGGTTTCTAGAAATGATCTCCTTAAATTACTACTTGTTCTATGATGTGTAGAGAAGAAAACAGGCTGAGTCGGAAAGTTGCAAACGAAATGGGTTGTAAGTAACGTGAGGCAAAGGACCACTTTTGTTCACCACTGGATCCCCAGTACAAGGCTGAAGAAATGGGGGCATGAAAAACAACAATCTTAAAGGCTGTAACTTACTTTTTTAAAATAACCTTTAAGCAGGAATTTGCTTTTGTTTTTAAGGCAGTGTACGTAGCCTTCCTCCCTTGGTTCAGGCTCAGTCACTTATTTCATGTTCTAAGGACAATCATGATTTCAAATATCCCTGCAGGTATTCCAATTTTTGATTCCCAGATTTGATTCTACTAAACATCTCTAGAACATAAAATCAGAAGCCAGGGAAGCCATCCCAATTTGGAAATATTTCCCCACTGCTTACAAAGAGACAATCCTGAAATAATATCATAAATTAAGGGTTGGAAATTATTTGAAAGAAGAGTTTTTAACAAAAGTTCAAAATACTTATTTTTTAAGGATTCTAAAATGTAGAGGTACTTGAAATTTAATAAAACTATTCGTTATTATACTAAATATTATATTAATGTCATAATATTATGAAAAAATTATTATACCTGGGAATACTTCCCTGTATATTTGGATCAGCACATAAAATTTTTAAGCCTCTAACATGTAGAGCATGGGTGCATATGGCCTTTCTTTTCTCTCCTCTTTATTTTTAATATATATGCTTTACCAAACCAAAATTTCACGGTACTCAGGCCTATTAACACTAATTCCCACAGGTAGAAATTACACATTTAAAATAGTATTAACTTGTTTTTATACAGCAGTTTCTTTCATCAGGCACCATCACAGGCAGTAGCCATACTGGGGGTCACAGGGCTGTGAGGGAGGCAGAGCACAATTTTCTTTATAATCATTTTAAAGGTAAAGAAACTGTCTCACTGGGTCACCTGCCTAAAGTCAACATCTGCGCATCGATTGTAAGCACTGTGTCTTTTGCCTGTGCCACAGAGCATCTCTAGCAATGGCACCGCTGAGGAATGGGACACGTGTTCACTTGAGCAATGGGAATGGCGGGTGCAAGGTTGCACAATTCCTGCATTTTAATGGATGGTACATGAGACACAATTTGAAGGGAATTTGATCCTTCCTAGTTAACTTCCTTTATTTTATCTAATATTTCCTCAAACTAAGCAGGTACCACACGAAGGCAATAGAAAAGGGCAATTATTACAACTGTCTTAATTTTTTAAAGGTATTATCATGCAAGATCCTAAAATAGAATAGTAAACGTGTGTTTTTAATATGGTAGAGTTACAATTTTAAAAACTAAATTATACTTTTCTTGGTATGTGATTTTTTGTTTGTTTATGTTCATCGTTAAGCTATTTTTTTTTTTTTTCTACTCTGAAAAGCTGTTAGCCACAAGTCCAGTTCTTTTTAACTTTTATCCACAGGGAAGTCATAATCCCCTGCTTAAATAGAGGCTGGTTACCATGGAAATCATTCTAATGCCACTGAATCAATATTTTGATTTTCTTGACATTTAATATAAAAAGAAAAGACAGACTAAGATTTACAAAAGTCATTTTTCATCTTTGTTATAATTTTGATAGCTGGAAAGATTATAAAGAAAACATATGCTCTGTAATGAACTCCAGTTAACTCACGATTATAAAGAACTGAGAATTCATAAAAGAACACTCTACATATTTATATAATTTTGGCTTTGAGTATACACATAGAAAAGCATGCATTTGGACTCAAGACTTTTTCTCCATCTCTGAAATAAGCCATGATTTCCTCCTGTTGTTACAGTAGATATAACTTGGGAGAAGGGATTTGAATATATCCAGTTTTGCAAATTGCCTTTTTATTAAGCGTTTGGAAGAGAAGGTGAAATTTGCATTGCATCTTCTATAGAAGTCAACCATTTCTGCACCAGATGCTAATAGTCCGTCTGGTCCACTGGCGACCCTCAAAGACACACGACGGCTGAAGGCCTCTCAACCCATCCTTGGAGCATCCTTTGAGAAGAGTTGTTGAAACAGGACCTAGTGTTTAATAAACCAGACCGCCCACCAAGTAGTTGTACGAGCCAAACTTAAGTCTTGACTGCTGTTCTAATTGTCACTGCCCCTCTTTTGTCCTCAGAAGAAATAAAGATAATAGAGCTGCTGCCTTCTGTTTGATAACTAGCTGTTTGGAAACCTACATCTTCAGATGGTGAAGGGAATCTGAAAGAATTAGGAGCTTCTCTACCCTAGGAAGTAGCTACCTAAAGTGCCCCAAGTGAATGGAAATCAGTTCTATTTGTAAGACAACTGAATCGAAGCTCAAAGTTTTCTTCTTTGGGACAATCATGCCTTTTCGCTGGTGTTCACTGTGAATACCCCAGGGGCCCCTTCCCTGAGGGCGGCTAAGCCGACAGTGTATTTGACAGGGCTTCAAGGATTCCAGGAATGTGTCCAGCAGCATTACATTGCTTGATAACACATTTTTCACTGGCTGCTTCCCTGGTCTGTTTCATTTCTCGCCTCTTTGGATGGATTTTTTATTCTCTTTTCTTCTTGTATCATTCTAGATTACTTTCAGGCCCTTTTCATTCAGGGACTGCTCTAAATCAGTAATCTTCTTTAGCAAACAACTTAATGTAATTGATTAGGTAGTTTTCCGGCAGTAAAAACAAGAGAGGGGTGACTTCTGGAAACAGGATCACAGAAAATAAAGAGAAATGAAAGGCATCATGTGTCAAATCAATAGCAGAGGAAACCTAAGAACAATATTTAAAATGTTCAAAAGGCAGATCTCCAGGGCCCTTTAGTGTATTAACAAGTAAACGAAACACCTAAAAGCGTCAAGTGTTACAAGTTGAAGGACATACTTATGATCTTGAATCATGAGATAAAAATCAAATTTCTCATCTACTCTAAGGTAGCAGAAAAAAATAGTTATGTAAATAGACACACAGATACACATGTTCATTGCTGTGCTATTCATTATAAAAAACCCAACTGGAACCAACTTAAGCATTCATCAAGGAGATAATGATTAAAGTACTATGATGTATATTTAATTCCTTAAAAGCGATTTTTTTTTAACAAACTGAACATAATGAAAAACAGTCACAAGAGAAGAAGTGAAAATGCACAAACACAATTCTATGCACAATTTCGATGTTGTAGGTATGCACACACGTACACGTCATTCACATTTGTACTCTCACACACACACACACACACTCGTGATGTATTTTTGCATACATGTATAATAGGAAAAAGCTCCATAAGTGGAGATAGTCCATGGAGACTGGATAGATTAGCTTCATCTCCAGGCCTCTGTTTGTATTCTTCCCTATGCACCGAAGCTTTTGTTTTTTTGGCTACATAGGCACTTAGGCGCCAACGCGAGAAAAAGGAGAGATGAGGTTAATAGAAGATGTGAAACATGCCTCGCGGGCGGGCACCTCATCTCATGGACTAGGTTTACATTTCTGTAGCAAGATTAAATCAGAAGATAAGGGAGCTTTCATGAGGGACTGGGGAGCCCAGCTGACGACAGGACCTGCCCAGTTGAAGAAAGGACCACCTGGCTTCTCCTGCCTGTTGCAAACCACTGTGAAACCCAGAGCATCAAGGGAGCAGGGAAGCCTGCTGTGGAGAAAGTCAGGGACAAGCAGGGCGGGAGAAAGGCCACACGACCTGGCACCGCCACGCTCTTACGCTGGCTGCTGGCGACGCTGGGAATCTTAAAGCATTGCTCACAACTGATACGCAAAACTCTAAATGCTCTTGGATCAAAGCACACTTGAGACTACTCTCCCATTAAGCGACTCTCAGGAAAAACTCAAGAAAGCTGAAACTTCTTCAAGTAAGGACTAAGGGGCTGATGAGATCCAAGGTTAACCTGACCTAATTTATATTCATAGACTAGGAGGGAGGAGGAGATATATCTGATTTGTGTATTTCATAGCTGAGGCAAAATATAGATACAGGTAGCAATTAGAGATTGAGATTGAAGTAGAGACTGAAATATATACATATATGTGAATATACATGTATATACACATATACATGCATATTCGTTCGCTAGAAGGAAGTACACTAAAATGTAAAAAAATACATTTTTAAGGTAATTACAAGTTTTTTCTTTACATTTTCCTGCATTACAAGATTCCCCTAATAATCACATAATACTTCTATAATCATATAAGTAATACTTATAAAGCAAGAAAATATACATTTTAGATATATTTCTAGGCAACCTAATTCCCTCATGATTCGAAGCTTTAAGGGGGTAAAAAAAAACACACATTGCCTTCCCTTTCCAATAAATTAAATACATCTTCTGGGTGTCTTTTGACCACATCCCAATAAATAACCTTCACCTTCACCTCAGAGAGCTAGAAGCAGGATTACATGACCCAGGGCGGAGGGCAAATGCTGGTTAGTAAGATGCTGACTGAAATATTTTTTCTAGATGAAGAGGGCATGGGGTGCTTTACCTTCAGTCCGCTCGGGGGCTTTCCCGCTCTTACTGGTGGCTGTGCTGTTGACCGTCTCCGATGACGTGCTCAGCTTGGTGCTAGGGTCTCGCTTGGGCTTGGGTGGTGGTTGTCTCCGGGAGCCACAGCTGCTGTCATCATCTGTGCCCCCAACAGAGTGCAGAGACTGTGACCTGACGGAGAAGCCGCTGGAGCAAGGATGGGGAAGCCTGTCCTGAGGGGCGGGCATCGTCATGAATCCCATGCGGAAATGTTTGCCCACGTAACTTCCTTCGTGGCCACGCCCTACTTCTCCTCCTATGCTGTAGAAGAAAGCAGAAGGAAATCCATGGAGATGAATTGAGCCGGCAAATGCAAGGTCATGGAGAGAAGTATATTTATGGCAGGTGATAGTTCAAAATTTAACCTTAGACTGGTGAGGAAACATTTCCATTAGCGTGAAAGCATTCTGTACTTTTGCACTATGACAGCAGATATAACTTGATTATAATCAGAAATCCTAGCACTTATTTCTAGATATCCTGGTATGCTGGTATCCAGATATTCTCAAAACAGTATTCCAAAGAAAAATGATACGGCAGAGCACATTTCACCTTCAATCGCGTTTTTTACTTCGAGGTAGGTAAATCTTAAAAAGTGGCTTAGAAAATAAACAAGAACTCCATGATTATGACACACGGCTGAGGTCAAGTGGGCAGCGCTCAAGACTCTTCTCCATTTCATCAGAATCATCCCGACTTTTACCTGGTTAATATAGTGGGGAAAATAACAGCAACAACAAAAGGGGGGTTTGTAACCGAATACAAGGGGAAGAGAGAGAGGGGAAGGAAGGAAGGAAGGAAGGATTTTGTAACCGAATACAAGGGGAAGAGAGAGAGGAAGAGAGGGAGGGAGAAAGGAGGAAGGAAGGAAGGAAGGAAGGAAGGAAGGAAGGAAGGAAGGAAGGAAGGAAGGAAGGAAGGAAGGAAAGAAGGTAGGAAAAAAAAAAAGGAAGGAAGAAAGGAATAAAGGGAAAATACTTGTTTAAATCGGCAAAGGAATCATCACCCTCTTTTAGTTCTCCAGAACCTTCAGTTACACTAGAAATTTAGTTCTATTAATAAGCTAGCCTCACAGAATAAAATATCCACATCTAATAGATGTAGTTAAAATAGCGTCTGATCTTGAGATAGTTCTAAACACCTTGTAAATATTTGGAGTATGCAGTTTCCCAATGTAAGATTCTTAGGTTTTACATAGGAAAGTTTGAGCAAAAGTATAAAAACATAAGAAATCTCTCTCAGTTTGAAGCTCGACTAATCATATAGGACTTTCATGGGACTTTCTCTATGCCACTAAGTAACAAAGACTCTTTGATGAAGAAAAAGGACATGGATGTCCATGTGAAGTTTTAAAAGAAAAATTTTTCTAGAATTTTCCCCACGTATGTCCATTTGTCAATAGAAGAAACAAAAAGAGACATTATTAGAAATACTCGACTGGTTTTCTTAGACGTGTATGAATGGCAAATTATCTCTTTTGAGTATATGAATTTTGGAGACTGAGTCTATTTTTTAAAATTTATTTAGACCTTTTTTTAAAATCTGAATTTTAGCTGACTCTGCCTTTATAATGACAGAATTCAAGATGAGGTTTTACATTTCTCTTTATTGTATGTTTGTCATAAGTTTATCATTTCAGTAGGAATAATAATGGGAGATGAGAATTTCCCCCACCCCCATTTCATTGAGGACTTATGATTACAATTATATGACCGCTGTGGACTGAGCCAGAAAGGATTCAACAAGAACATGTAATTCTAATGACAACTTGCCACTTGATCAAAAATAATTTTTAATTAATTCATTTTTTCTAACTACTTTGAGTTGATACTCAGACACTAGATATACCATCTTTGCAAAACAAAATAAAGGTGTCTGAAAACTCTGCACTAATTAGAGGAATGTTGACCCAGAAGCATGAATGAAATCAAAGGGACAGCCAAGCGGAGGTTTTCACATCATAGTTGTAGCATCCTGTGTTTTCACGCATCGTATTTTCTGTGCTTTCAAGAGCATCAATCAAAAACTTACTCAAATGAAATGGTTTGTGAAAAATCATTGAGAATTTAGTCAGAATAGAGGTGGGAGAGGTGGGGAATGGGCGTGGTGGATGGGAAGGTTTATCTTTGAGTTGTGATGATTGTGCCCTTGATCTTTCTCATGGAAGACATTTGGTTTCATCTGAGTTTGACTTCAATCATTTTGCATCTTTGTATCTTTTCTTTATTTCTGTTGCCATATCACTGAGCAAAAGGTGCTTTAAAGATTTATTTAGACAGCTGTCTCATTCCCAGTTACATAGCTGCATGAGAGGATTAACGCATGTGTTAATGCACACAGGAATTTATGAGATAGTTACTAGGAATAATTGTATCAGCAATTTCTCTGTTACTTTTGACCTAAATAGTGCCTACACCTTTTCCCAAATAGATAATTAGTTCTGCTGCTTAATTTCAAAAGTACATTCTTTTTTAGCATAATTTTTTAAAATCGAATTCTCTATGCTTTTCTTCATATATGTACACACATACACACACACACACACACACACACACACACACATTCTTCCAAAGAGTAATTCAATGTATGCTTCAAACAATAGCAGGTCTCAGGTGCAAGTTTAATTTGATTAGGCTGTGAATGCAGAATGAAGAAATGGGGCTATATTGACTACAAAGGCAAGGCTAAGGGTAAGCAATAAAGATTATGCTGCACCTAGGGTCAAGAGACAAGTAAAGGCAATGAGTCCAAAGCAAATTGAAGACTGTGGAACAGACCATATGATTCCTGAATATGCAGATTCATGGACCCATACTGAAGGTACTATTCAAATATATCTGTTGAATCAGAGTCTCTGATTCTGTAGCCAATTAGTTTGTTTTTTAAAAAAACAACATCCAGATGTTTCTGATGTAGCCGACCCAGAGACCTCCAGAAATATTAAGAGCAACAGATAGAGCCATTAATGAGCAGACATCTGTTCGTTAGAAACAGCTGAGACACAAATACCAGAAAGTAGGACAAAGGAAATTAGCCAGAGAGAGACCAGGCAAAATATCAGAGATGAGAAAATACACGATGCATTAGATTGTGTTAGGGTATGCTGTAGTAACAATCACCAATTCTCAGTGATCTACAAACACAGAGGTTTCTTTCTTTCTAGTATTAATTGGGTCGGCTGTGCATCAGCTGCAGCCCTGCTCCACATGTCTTCATTATTGTAGGATCTAGTCCCTACTGGGATATGTTCTCATGATAGAGACAGAAAGAGACTCACTTAACTACAGTGTCTCTTAAAGCTTCTGCTCAGCTGTAGCATATAATTTCACTCATAATCTCTTGGCTAAAACCAGTCTTATGGCCAAGCTCGATGCCAATAAGTTGGGGATAAATTCTCCTCCAACAGAAAACCACTGCAAGTTCCATGACAATAGGTGGGGATGCATAATCCTCTTACAGGCAAGGGGTCCAATACTGCTAACGCAGCTGTGGCATACGCCACTGAGATCTTCCTTCAAGAGAGAACTTGCCATGAGGAATGAAGTTCGCTGACAACCAATGACCCCCTGGGGAACTTTGTACTTCCCATTCCCATAATTCTGAGCTCTACAGTGCTGGAGACCCTTGTCCTCAAATGGAGCAAACTCTTTCTAGAAGACACAACAAAGGCTCCATTGAACAACAAGTTATAACTGCCTCCTGGGCAATTTGAATTTCCTTGTATGGTGGCCAGCAGGCAAGATGAGGCTCCACTGTGGAAGAGATTATCGACCCAGATCAGCAGGAGGTAGCAAACTGCTGTCACATGATGGGGAAAAGATAAATATGTGTGGAAACCCTCTTGATACTCTCTTGCCCAACTGTGACTTGAAAGGTCACATGCGGCAACCCTGGCCCAAGATGGTTTTGGATACTAGGGGTTCCAATCTCTTCTGAAAGGGAAAGTAGTCTAATCACCAAGTAACACCAGCAGAGGTGTTAGCTGCTGGTAGGAGTGAGGTGACTTTATAACAAATGGTGGAGAAGGGGAATGATGAGTATCATCCGCAGCCCCCATATAAATTGCAGTCATGAGGGCTGTAGCAGACTGTCACCTGGTAAGGTTCCCCTCAGGAAAATCCCTTTGTAGCAATGAAAGAGTTCTTCCCCAGAAATGAAAGAGAAGAGCATCTGCTCAGCTTAAGAGATGAATCATGGCAGCCATCAAGGTGTGTGACTCAGATGTCCAGCAGGAAAGAAACTTTTTTAAGGACAGAAGTTAGCTGACAGCCACAAGCTACAGAGTCTTAGAATCTGGAGCAGCATTTTAGTGAAGGCACTCTGCTCCTGGAAAGCTCCTAGCCAATAGCTGAGCACGTTGACCTAAGGGGCCTGGCATTTCTGCCCGGCGTGTGTGCCCCTCACGGGCAACTTTGTGCCTGAGTCCCCCTATTGGGCTGGCTGAGACTTTCTCATAGCTATACCGCAATGGGGTCTGAGGGTCTTCCTGTCCAACCATTTCTCCATCTTCCTCTTCTTTCACAGTTGTCAAGTCAGTATCTTGGCCTAAGGCTCATCCTGCCTATTCCTGCTCTCAGACATCTTTCTCAATAGATCTCTCACACTTTTAACACCATCTAGCTTGGTGTCTCCTTTCTAGAGGGCATGAACTGACATATTTGGGAACAATCATATAATCTATGACATTCTAAGACCAAAGAAGGGGGAAGAGAAAGCCTAAAAATAAAGAGACCCCAGAAAAATAAAATGCCTCTGAAAATAAGACACTCTCTTGCTTCAGACTGAGCATTTAAGTGGTGGTTGGAGAGGGAGGAACCAACTCCACTGTAGGAATACTTGGCTTGAAATGAAAGTTACGTGGGCTGAAGAAAGCGGTCTTTTTGCAATTAGATTCTAACACTCGAGATAGATTAAGCCTGCCACATCTCATGTTATAAAAATAAAAATAAATTACATAATCCTGAATTTAAACAAGTATTTTTTTTTTTCTCTCAGACAATGTAGGCAATATTTTGAGGCTAGTCGTGTTAATTTTTCTATTATAAAACACAAAGCAATAATACATTGCTTATTCAAGAGGGGTTGTTTTCCCAGAAGTAATTAATAAAATATTTATCCTTCTCCCCCAAATGAGTATTGACTGATGGGAAAAACCTGGACAACTGAGCTCTGGAATCACTGAGCTGTGGGCTCCATTGCCAGTCCCATCATGCGGCAGCTGCAGTTGGTTCCTGACCCCTAAGGCCACTTCCTTATTTGGC